AGCTGAAGGGGTTAACCTCTGTGCCACGCACATCAAGAACTTTTTGCCCCAAAATTGCAATATCTTCTCAGTTTTAAGTATATTTAGATATAACCCAGGCAAAGTAAATAATAAATTTATTATTTCTTAATAATAATTTCTATCCAGTGATATCATATCGACGAATTCAAAAAGAAAGCGACGAATTATTGTATACGATTTGGTCACTCGTTATGGTCCGTGAACCAAGTTGCTAGCGCAAGAGGTTAATTTCAGGGCGAATTCTCAAGATTTTTTTTTTTTAGATTGAAACGTTCTCAAAAATGCACTTCAAAACGATCAGTTCTTGATATTGAAACACATCGATATGCCCTTAGACACTTTTCCAGACTAGAAATTATTATGTTTTATAAAGAATCGTGCGTCTTACGGATTTATACAGCACTTCGACAATTTTGTTTTCACCGATATTTTTGTTCGACGTCTATGTATGCAACTTTGATCCTCAGGCATATAAACGAAGCCTACACTCACCTTCCTTCATTTTCCCTTCCCTTCTCAACTCGTACATAGCTGCTCTTAGGTCGCTGTTACGACACCTCTGCATCGCGGTTACGACTCCGACCGGGGAACCAATTGCTCCAATCGTTCCCGTGCTCCGGGGCTTTAAGCTTAACCTGCGATCAACGGGAATCGTCGATATATCGGATCACCTTGCGCCTTACCAAGCTTATTATTCATTATTATTCATACGTGTACACGTATATTCATCACGGTGGTAACAATCGCGCGCGAAAAGAATTGTTTCTCGCGTCTCTAACGAAGATAGTTAAGAGCTCAGGCACTCTGTTTACCTCAGATCTCGTCGGCTCGCTCGTGCGTGGAAAAAAGATACGTATATGACTCCGGCGGGGGGGAAAGCGAGAGACGAAGATAGAGTGTAAAAAAGAAAAGAAACGAAGAGAAAGAGAGGGGCTGCCGATCTTGAGGCTCGAACGAACGTTCCCACCGTCGATGATACAATCGATTTTTTATCGAGTCACGTATCTCTCGTGGCGTTACGCAATGCCACTAACTGATCGCGATATAGTTCCACGACTAAAATCCGATCCAAATCGTACGCCTCCAGTTTTCGAAACTGGCCACGTATCACTTTCTTGATTAGAGATCGCGTGAGATTTCCCGTGTATCCATTTAGGCGAGCGATCAAGTTCGAACTGGCGGGTTGTTTGAATTAGACGAAGCATTTGCGAAAATACGAAACGTGGAGAACAAGTCGGCCTTCTTTTCTTCTTTTTTTTTTTTTTTTTTTTTTTTT